AGGTCAAACTTCAAGGTCAAATTCAAGGTCAAAGGACGGGGAACTTAAAAAGTGCCACTAAATATTGTCCAATTTTCAAAATTTTGGCACCAAAATGTAGCGCGTGCAAAGTTTTAGCCGCACATCGAAAACCATTTTCATCAAGGTCGAATTCCAAGGTCAAATTCAAGGTCACAGGACGGGGAACTGAACTACATTTTGATGCCAAAATTTTGAAGATCGGACAATATTTAGTGGCACTTTTTCAGTTCCCCGTCCTTTGACCTTGAATTTGACCTTGAAGGTCAAGGTTTAGGAGTGAATGGGTTCGATTTTCGTGATCTTCATGGTCCAATTGAACTTGGACGAGGTTTTGGCTAAAATCGGTGCTCGTCGCTGGAAAAGTCGCTGGTGACGTAGCATTTTTAAAGTTCCCCGTCCTTTGACCTTAAATTTGACCTTGAAGTTTGACCTTGATGAAAATGGTTTTCGATATGCGGCTAGAACTTTGCACGCGCTACATTTTGGTGCCAAAATTTTGAAGATCGGACAATATTTAGTGGCACTTTTTCAGTTCCCCGTCCTTTGACCTTGAATTTGACCTTGAAGTTTGACCTTGATGAAAATGGTTTTCGATGTGCGGCTAGAACTTTGCACGCGCTACATTTTGGTGCCAAAATTTTGAAGATCGGACAATATTTAGTGGCACTTTTTCAGTTCCCCGTCATTTGACCTTGAATTTGACCTTGAAGTTTGACCTTGATGAAAATGGTTTTCGATGTGCAGCTAGAACTTTGCACGCGCAACATTTTGGTGCCAAAAATTTGAAAATCGGACAATATTTAGTGGCACTTTTTCAGTTCCCCGTCCTTTGACCATGAATTTGAGCTTGAAGTTTGACCTTGATGAAAATGGTTTTCGATGTGCGGCTAGAACTTTGCACGCGCTACATTTTGGTGCCAAAATTTTGAAAATCAGACAATATTTAGTGGCACTTTTTCAGTTCCCCGTCCTTTGACCTTGAATTTGACCTTGAAGTTTGACCTTGATGAAAATGGTTTTCGATGTGCGGCTAGAACTTTGCACGCGCTACATTTTGGTGCCAAAATTTTGAAGATCGGACAATATTTAGTGGCACTTTTTCAGTTCCCCGTCCTTTGACCTTGAATTTGACCTTGAAGTTTGACCTTGATGAAGATGGTTTTCGATGTGCTGCTAGAGCTTTGCACGCGCTACATTTTGGTGCCAAAATTTTGAAGATCGGACAATATTTAGTGGCACTTTTTCAGTTCACCGTCCTTTGACCTTGAATTTGACCTTGAAGTTTGACCTTGATGAAAATGGTTTTCGATGTGCGGCTAGAACTTTGCACGCGCTACATTTTGGTGCCAAAATTTTGAAAATCGGACAATATTTAGTGGCACTTTTTCAGTTCCCCGTCCTTTGACCTTGAATTTGACCTTGAAATTTGACCTTGATGAAAATGGTTTTCGATGTGCGGCTAGAACTTTGCACGCGCTACATTTTGATGCCAAAATTTTGAAGATCAGACAATATTTAGTGGCACTTTTTCAGTTCCCCGTCCTTTGACCTTGAATTTGACCTTGAAGGTCAAGGTTTAGGGGTGAATGGGTTCGATTTTCGTGATCTTCATGGTCCAATTGACCTTGGTCGAGGTTTTGGCTAAAATTGGTGCTCGCCGCTGGAAAAGTCCCTGGTGACGTAACATTTTTAAAGTTCCCCGTCCTTTGACCTTGAATTTGACCTTGAAGTTTGGCCTTGATGAAAATGCTTTTCGATGAGCGGCTAGAACTTTGCACGCGCTACATTTTGGTGCCAAAATTTTGAAAATCGGACAATATTTAGTGGCACTTTTTCAATTCCCCGTCCTTTGACCTTGAATTTGACCTTGAAATTTGACCTTGATGAAAATGGTTTTCGATGTGCTGCTAGAACTTTGCACGCGCTACATTTTGGTGGCAAAATTTTGAAGATCGGACAATATTTAGTGGCACTTTTTCAGTTCCCCGTCCTTTGACCTTGAATTTGACCTTGAAGTTTGACCTTGATGAAAATGGTTTTCGATGTGCGGCTAGAACTTTGCACGCGCTACATTTTGGTGCCAAAATTTTGAAAATCGGACAATATTTCGTGGCACTTTTTCAGTTCCCCGTCCTTTGACCTTGAATTTGACCTTGAATTTTGACCTTGATGAAAATGGTTTTCGATGTGCGGCTAGAACTTTGCACGCGCTACATTTTGGTGCCAAAATTTTGAAAATCGGACAATATTTAGTGGCACTTTTTCAGTTCCCCGTCCTTTGACCTTAAATTTGACCTTGAAGTTTGACCTTGATGAAAATGGTTTTCGATGTGCGGCTAGAACTTTGCACGCGCTACATTTTGGTGCCAAAATTTTGAAAATCGGACAATATTTAGTGGCACTTTTTCAGTTCCCGTCCTTTGACCTTGAATTTGACCTTGAAGTTTGACCTTGATGAAAATGGTTTTCGATGTGCGGCTAGAATTTGCACGCGCTACATTTTGGTGCCAAAATTTTGAAAATCGGACAATATTTCGTGGCACTTTTTCAGTTCCCCGTCCTTTGACCTTGAATTTGACCTTGAATTTTGACCTTGATGAAAATGGTTTTTTATTTGCGGCTAGAACTTCGCACGCGCTACATTTTAGTGCCAAAATTTTGAAAATCGGTCAATATTTAGTGGCACTTTTTCAGTTTCCCGTCCTTTGACCTTGAATTTGACCTTGAAGTTTGACCTTGATGAAAATGGTTTTCGATATGCGGCTAGAACTTTGCACGCGCTACATTTTGATGCCAAAATTTTGAAAATCGGACAATATTTAATGGCACTTTTTCAGTTCCCCGTCCTTTGACCTTGAATTTGACCTTGAAGGTCAAGGTTTAGGGGTGAATGGGTTCGATTTTCGTGATCCTCATGGTCCAATTGACCTTGGACGAGGTTTTGGCTAAAATCGGTGCTCGTCGCTGGAAAAGTCGCTGGCGACGTCGCCAACTTCACGGACATTTGTCATTGGCCGTTGTTCGTGGCAACGCTGCATCCGTTTTACTGGCCCCGGCAGCTGATGATTGTGGCGATGGTGATGTGTATGTGTCTCGTTTCGAACAGCAAGCTCCAGAAGTAGACTCTGAGCCAGAGCAGTACATATCTCCCGAATCGCCTCAATCGCAGAGCTCTGATCTGTTGTTAGAATTGCTTTCTATTGATGTGACGGAGGTAGGAAAATCGCAGTCCTCAGAGAGAAAAGGAAGATCATTGTCCAATTCGTTGCAAAGATATAGGCAAATATTCAATGAAATGAAAGAAAATTATACTGTTACCGAAGATCGCGACATTATGTCTGACCCAGATCTAGCGCCATACTTGTGTCGCCGTCCATGCTAGTTGATGGGCTTCCACCTACCATACTGGTCTGATGTACCTATGACTTGCTTTGTGTAATAAAAAAAAATTAGAAAAAAGGTCACCAAAGGTCACCAAGGGTCACCACATGCGCCCAACTTTACTAAGGTTGTGCGATGCATGTTTTATGGCCAGTTTTTCATTTCCAACTCAATGGTATTGGTTATAAGACCATCAGGTACGGTTTAGGTCACTTTCTGGTGGAGGTCAGGTCAAGGTCAGGTCAAAAAAGGTCAAATTTTCAAAAATGATATTTTTGAATAACATGGGTATCGATTCGATGCAGCTCGTCACGGGGAGTCTAATGGTGGTCTTTGTTTTGCGCTAAGAGGTCTAGAATTGCTAAAAATTGAGTTTGAAAATTTGACGTCATCAGTTTTGAACAGTTTTTCGCTATAACTTGGCCAAAAAAAGAGGTATTGATCTCAAATTTGGTATGTAGGTAGACGGCGGTAGGGACTATCACATGTATTCCGGTTTTTTTCGAAATTCAAAAACTTTTTGGATTTTTCGGCTATTATTTTCAAAAAATCTATTTTTTGATTTTTGGGGTTCAAAATCCAAAAAATTCGAAAAACCGAAATAGCAGTTTTGTAGCCCTCTTGATTCCACACCTTTTATGTCCAAATCATTTTTCTGTATCTCTAAAGCTGTAGGCCTGACAGCTCTTCCCGCGAAACCTTTTTTTGGGTCGAAAATGGCAAAAATAACGTCACTCTGACGTCATTAGCGGCCAACCTATCATAGCCTTTGGGAAATTTTTTGGTCACCATGTGCGCTAGCTGCTCCCGGGAGGATACTGAAATTTTGGTGACGATCGGCGCAGCGGTTCTCGAGATATATCGAAAAAACTAAAGGGGCGGGGGCAAAAAAATGCCCCCCCCCACCGCCTGGAAGGTTAATTAAATATGTTGTGGGACTCTACACTCTACAGTCTACAAGCTGAGCATATGGTTCGCAAACGAACGTCACCGTATAATGCATAGTTAGACGATAATTCAGGAAACGGTGGCGGTTAAAACCAGCGATCGGCATCAGACGGGTCCGGGGTCAGTGACTTTATCGATTGACAGAGCGATATGTCAGCTGTAATCCGTTGGTATATATCGCAATCCTGAATGACGTGAACATTAGAGCGGGGTTCGTTCAGTGGACCGGTAAAAACCAGTACCTATTACCGGTGGTCGGGTCAATCAATAAAGGCAGGTGGTGCATACCCCGGGAGCCATCCACATGCAAAATGAGCGTACCGTGACTTTCACTGCGGGTACCCTAACATAAAACAATGGCCATGACTCACCCACTGTGGCATTAGCTTCCTGCTTGGCACTGAGAGTGTGCGCAGTACATTCAGGGCATATGGAATACCTACCCATCGGGGAACTCCAAACGGCGTGTAACAACAAAACGGTCGATTTACTTAGTTTTTGAGATAATGGTTTATCACGGGATCAATAGCGTTCGCCGTTCACCGTTTCCAGTGGTGACCGGTGCTAATCATTCCACCTGCCAATCAACATTACCAGTACCTACACAAACATTAACAGCATCTACTGCCCAGCCGAGCGGTGCCACTTACCGATGAACGCGGGCGCGGTCGTCGTTCGCCGGCGTTGCGTCGTTGTTCTCCCCGTCACCGGGGCGGCGGTGGTCGTCACTGCCGCCGGCGTCGGCTTCGTCGTCGCCCCTGTCGTCGTCGGACGGGCAGTCGTCGATATCGACGATACCGTTGATCTCGTCGTCGATTCCGTTGTGGATTTGCCACTCGCCGTTACCGTGGTTTGTTTTCGTGCTGGCTGGCTGCGAGGCTTGGTTGTCGGCGAGCTAGTGGGGATCTTCGTAGCACTCGTCGAGGGTTGCACAGTGACAGACCCGACTTTTGACGAGTCTATAGCTCTGAACACTGATGGTTTCTTGTCGCCATCCGTCACGGTCACAGTCGTCGGCTTCGTTTTCTGCGCCACCTTCAAAACCGACCCGATGATGACCCCGGCCGGCTGAGGGGCGGGAGAGGCGCCGGTGTCCGCAGCAGCAGCCAGCAGCACCCCGATAAGCAGCAGCGAGCGGGGCGTCATGGCGGCTGGACGGCGGCGGGTCGGCGAGTGGCGGCGCCGGGCGCACCCGGTGCCGCCGCCGCCCGGCCGGACGCACCGGTCCGCGGTCAGCGCGAGCGGCGGGGATCCGCGGGATTTCCGCACAGTTCGGCAGAACAGCCGCCACCGCAGCCAGGCAGCGAGGTGGGTCACCTCTGTCAGAGCGCCGGGGTCAACCGAGAGCGCGCAGAGGTCACCCTGGAGCTCTCGATCCCCGGGAGATTAGCCTAATAGCAGTCAAGGATTTCCCAGCCAGCTACGATCATAGGCGGCGGAACGGGGGGGGGGGGGCACCGGGGCACCGTGCCCCCTTGAATTCTGCCAGGGGGGCACCAATAGCAAGGTGCCCCCCTTAAATTTGGTGTATTAGTACAAGGGGCGGATTCGAGAAAACTACAAGGGGAGGGTCATGAATTGAAGTGGTGCCCCTACCTATACCCAAAATTAAAACCTTAACGGATTTCGGCCACTTAATTTTGGTGGTGCCCTATTTTCAGTTTTTTATTTTCTTTATTTTTGGTTAGTCATGTGATGACTGGTGCCCCTGCTAGGCCACTGGTGCCCCTGGAAAGATTGTGGTACCTACCTACCCTGCCCCCTGACAAGCCTACGGTGGGCCATGACATGACTTAGGTGCCCATGGGCCCTGACAGACCCGTGGAGCCCCTGACAGGCCTGTGGTGTCCTTGCTAGGCCTTGGCAGGTCTGTGGTGCCCCTGGCGAGCCTGTGGTGCCCCTGTTAGAACGCAAGTGCCCTTGACAGGTTTGTGGTGCCCCTGACCATCCTAAAGTGCCAATGACAGGCTTGTGGTGCCCTTGGCAGGCCTATGGTGCCCTTGCGAGGCCGGTGGTTCCCCTGCGAAGCCGATAGTGCCCCTGGCAGGCCTCTGGTGCCCCTGGCAGGTCTGTGGTGCCCCTGGAAGACCTGTAGTGCTTTTGCTAGGCCGATGGTGCTCTTGACAGGCCTGTGGTGCCACTGACAGGCCCGTGGTGTCCCTGCTAGGCCTGTGGTGCTCCTGGCAGGCATGTGGTGACCCCAGGCCCTAAGACCCATGTGACCTCCCCTCCCCCCGGGATTCGCCACTGATTAGTACCTACTGCGATGGCTTCTTGGGAATTTGATACATGTAGGATAAATGGAATTTATCGAACGACAATAAGGAAGAGACAAACACATAGGTACTTGAGGATCAGCTTAACCCTCGCCCGTATAGGGGAGGGGGGGGGGTCGAACGGACCTCCCTTCTGTTTTTCGCGAATAACTCGCGTAAAAAGCGGCTGATCGCGACGAAACTTTCAGTACCCTCGCGTTAATAAATTTTACACCTACCCTGAAAATTTCATGACCCTGACCCTAATGACCTTTGACCTGTGACCTACTTTTCGAGACCATGTTTGGCCGGAATCGCGATTCGGCGTATGTCGGCTCGCATTAGCCGCGCGTTAGCAGTCTTTTTATGGTTTCAAACGTTCAAACATGGGATATAATGTTGCTCCCATGCATTAGGGTGGGTGTCAAGGTCACCGGAAGGTCAGGTCAGGCCATTGACCTTTGATGACCTCGGTTCACTTTTTTGAGCTTTACATGTTCCTATGCTAGTTTTTGGAGCTGGATTGGAATTTAGCAACCATTTGAACATTTACGAAGCAGTTTTGGTGCCTTCGTAACATGTTACGAAGCTGTCAGAGGCTACTACGAATACCCGGCAAAATCCTTACTGATTGACCTGACCTGACCGGACCCGACCTGGCCTTAATGCATGAAGACATCATCAGTGATCATAACTAACATGATATTCGTGATCAGCAACCCGAAAACCCCATAGCAGCCACGTTTTACGACGTTCTAACAGTCCCGATTTTCCCGACTTTTGGGTCATTTACCTGACCTGGAAGGTCAACCGATGACCTAGGACCTTAAAATTGGGTATCATCGGCTTCCTCTCGTCGCGGGCAGCACGCTCGTTTTTTCCGCGAAGCTCTAGCTCGATCAGGGGCGAAACGGCAAGGGGGGTCCAACGGACCCCCCCCCTTATACGTTCGTGGCTGGAAAACACCAATACGGGCGAGGGTTAAAGTTAACCATACATACGGGGGTGAACTGCCATTTTCGTTTAGTAAAAAATAAAAAATAAAAAACATCGTGTCAGGGCTGTGACGAATAATAAGTGGCCTAAATCCGATGAGAAAACAGGATTTGGGGGTACCCTAGGTTTGGCTCCTTGAGCTGGTGCCCCCCCCCCCCCTTGTCTCAAATCGTTCCGCCGCCTATGGCTACGATTACCGTAGTAATAGTTAGTATCGCTTCATTCTCGGCCAACGAGATTGAGAATGAAGCTAAGGGAGAGAGTCATAGGCGTAGGAACGTTTTCGAAAGTGGGGGGGCCAGGGTCCCAGAGGTCCAAAACCTAACCTACCCCCAAAATCCGATTTCTCCTCGGATTTCGGCCACTTTGTTTTCGCAAACATGCTCAGAGGTAAAAAAAAAATCGAGACAAAACAAGAAAAAAAAATTGGTTGAAATTTCAGGGAGTCTCCCGTCCATAAGCTCAAACTGATGGACGCGTTCCCCTGACCTCCGCAGCCGTTGGCACCCATGCAAATTCCAGAGGCATCCAGCAACTTTTTCATTACGAGCAAGCGTGAAACGTGCAAAGCGAGTCTTTTCAATATACCTATAAAAATCAGCATGAACGGCCCAGCTAGGCTCAGCCAGGCCTATAACGTTTTTAAGAGGTTTTATATCAGCGACCACTGCAACTGGGCTGATTGACTATCACTTATCAGAGGCCGGTGTGGGATTTTTAGACGGTCTGGGCCTTCAGAGGCCAGTTTAACCCTCCACGGCCCGGTCCTATAGGTTTTCTACATACGCGCTGGCCGAAGGGGCGGGCCGGCGGGTACGACCCCCTCGCCGTTTCGCCCCAGGTGGAGCTAGCGCGTCGCGGTAAAACGAGCGTGTGCGCCGTTACGGGACGCAGAGATCGATACCCGATTTTATGGTCCTAGGTCAACCGGTGACCTCTGACACCGTTCCGTGCTTCTATCCTCAGGATACTGAAATCCTTCTCCTCCACACCGCAACCCCCTCCGGGCTGGACAGGCAACTTTATCTCATGCGGGCTGCTCCCTTGGAGCGGCACCGCTGCTCCCGAGGGAGCGCACCCCGTAGCCGGGTGCAGTGAGTGCCTTGGGGCTGGGTGGCCTGTCCTCTGGACGGGCTCAGCCCCGGCGACTCACTAGGGTGCCTGCCCAGACCAATGTCTCCCCCTATATCCTATCATCCTTCCGGCTCTGAAATGGTCTCATTGGACCGAAAGGGCCTAACCCAACAAAACAAACAAAAACCGGTGACCTCTGAGGTCAGGTCAAGTGCCTCAAGGCACGGTTCCGTTTTTGGTGAATAACTTCGCAAAAAATGGCCGCAGAGCCGCGATTTTGCCAGCATCGTGTTCGCCTCTCTCAGGCGCGTCGAATGATATACTTTTTGTTTGGGTGAGGTAAACTTAGGGTGTTGACCTCGGGTCACGGTCAGGTCGGCGTCCCCAGGTCACGAAATTGGTCGAAGGAGGTCATGTCGCATATCATTCGATTCGGCAGGTCTTCTTGAGTCCATAGGTGGCTTTCCCGACTCGCTAGCTCAATTTGATCGGTACCTAGTTATTGACGAAAAACTAATAAGACCCTTATAACTTCATAAATGACGTCGCGCAAGGTCAACATTGCAAAAGTGACGCATCGAACCTTGCAAGGAGTGCATGAAATCACGATTCGGTGTGCTTGAGATAGTTGGAGATCGATCATTCCCGGCGCCAGAAAAAGTTTTCAGTTTATCCCCATTGACTTATACCTAATGGTGAGGTCACGAAAATGACCTGACCTCATATGAACTTTAGGAAAAATCCGAGATATACATTATACAAGTTGAAAGACTCCTATTGGATACTAGGTCCTCCAAGGTTCATTTCCCTGTGAAATCTCCTCTGGCAGTGAGGGCGTTGCGAAGTTGCGACATCTGAAGACCGTGCAGAGGTTCACTTATGACCACATGGGTCAGTGACCTGATCTGACCCGAAAATGCGGTTGGTGTCAAAAGATCCCGTTTGATTCAAAGGTCAGGTATGCCAAGCTTCAGCTCTCTATCGCCGGCGTGTTCGGAGCTATCGCGAAAAAAAAACTATGGAGGGGCGGCACCCCCCCCCCCCCGGCTGGCGAGGGTTAAGGCCCTCAGAGACCAGTACAGGGCCTGCAAAGGGCAGGATGAGACCTTAAGATGCCGACTTGGGCCATCAGAGGCTAATGTGGGTCCTTACAGGCCAGTATGGGCCCTCAGAGGTCAGTGTGGGACCCTAAAATGCCGGCATGGGCCGGTGTTGGACCCCAGAGGCCAGCAGAAGACCCTCAAAAACCAAGATGGGCCTCAGAGGCCAGCATCGGGTCTTCAGAATCCAGTGCAAAGCCCTCAGAGACTAATGCGTGTCCTTACAGGCCAGCATGGGCCCTTAGAGGTCAGTGTGGGGCCGTAACAGACCGGCATGGGAGGGACTTGGAACCTAGAGACCAGCGGAGGGCCCTCATAGGCCAAGGTGGGCCCTCAGAGGCCGATGCGGACCGTTGGAGACCGGCATCGGATCTCCGGAATCCAGTGCGGGGCCCTTAGAGGTCAATGTGGGACCCTAAAATACCGGCATGGGCCGGTGTTGGAACCCAGAGACCAGCAGAAGGCCCTCAAAAACCAAGATGGGCCTCAGAGGCCGGCATCAGGTCTTCAGAATCCCGTGCAAGGCCTCATAGGCTAATGTGGGTCCTTACATGTCACCATGGGCCCTTAGAGGTCAGTGTGGGGCCCTAAAAGACCGGCATGGGCCGGCGTTGGACCCCTCAGGCCAAGGTGGACCCTCAGAGGCCGATGCGGACCCTTAGAGGCCGGCATCGGGTCTTCAGAATTCAGTGCGGGGCCCTCAAAGGCACCTAAAGGCACCCCAGAGACAGAAATGAGGCCACCA